AAATGCCAGATGACAAGAACTGCGAGGATTAAACTTAACACAACACACATTTGCTTTCGCTTCCAGTGATGCTACTGAATGATCAGCATTTAGAGACCATAGTTTGACTCTTGCATCATCTGATCCTGATGCAATCAATCTGGTATCCACATCATTGAAATCAACGCTCCAACACCGCTTCTCATGCTCCTGAAAGGTTTTTGTCCGCTGCCCTGTTACAGCATCCCAAACTGTAACTGTTCCCTCATAGTCACTACTGGCCAGAACACCCTTGTGGTATGAGTTATAACTGACACATGATATCTTGGAACTCGAGATCATTTCAACACATGGGTAATGTATATCTACAGTATCTCTGATCACAGCTCCAAAATCAAACACCTTTATTCGTTTGGTAACACCAGCTATTGCAAAGAATTCATTATCCTTATCAAACTCAATGCTTGAAACAATTGTAGAATTGTTGAAAATGTCACTAGAATAGTTTAGTGTTGCCAAAGGACGTAATGTATTGTACCGAGAAAACTTGATCAGGTTTTCACGAAAAACATCCAAACCAGAAACGGCACCTACAGAACTGTCTGTTGAAGGTGTTTTGTCAGTATTACCAAACATAACTTCTCTAGCTCTTGAAGTGAAATAGCACTGTACAATGTCATCAAAATGAGAATGCAATCTTTTCCGTCTCATTGTCAATGCTGTCAATGAATTACTGGAAGTCTTCTGGTTTACATTAAATCCTTCAATATCACCTCCTTCACAAGGTGTCCCTCCTGATTCCTTTTTCAGCAATGTGTCACTTGCATTCTTTGTGGTCAGATCATTCTTTGATGAACTTGGGACTGCAGTGCCACACTCAGTTTCACCTTCCTTTTCCAAATTTGAACATTTGTTCTCCACATCTTTCAGAATATTCTCCACCTCATCCATGTCCTTCTTTACAACACAAATCTCTTTTGTCAACTGACTTAACTGCTCTTCTTTCTGCTGCAGAAGATGCTTAAGAAATTCATACAGAAGTTTATTCTGGACAATACATGATTCAGCTTGCAACAATTGCTTTCTCTGAGTAAGAACCTCCAAAATTACATTGACATCAGGCAATGTCAAGTTTTGGGATTCTGTAGCCACAAAATCTCGAAAACCATCTGCAGCACCTTGGACATTATCCCCAAAACTATCACAATACAATCCCAGGCCTCCTGATACCACCATGCGAGACTTATACTTTGACACCAGCTCATTGAGCAGAAAATTTGGAAACACATTTTCAAGGCCACCCAAAGCAAAACTACATTTGGGGCAACGTCCACTTGGCTCCAGTGACTTTGAGATACAACGATAGCAGAATGTGTGACCACAGCGAGTGATGTGAGCCTCTTCAATCATCTCGAAACAAATAGGGCATAAGAAGTCATTGTTTTTGTCCTCAAATGTTCCTCCAATACCATTTAACACTGTAGGATGTTGACGCTTCACAGGTCGGAGTCTTTGTGGCGTCGTTGAAGATGATGCACTTCCACTACTACGGCTGGAAGCCATTATGTGAACTTGAGGGTTGGACAAATTTGAGATGATCTAGTTGCAAATCACATTAAAGATCGGACCAGCTTGGCCTGAAACAACAAAATAATGCCAATGTTTGGATAGTTTCTTTAGATTTTCACTGAACTACTTTAAACAACATAAATAAGTAGATCAAAATGCTAACACATTATTGGCAGCATTATTATATTTGTTTCAGGTCAACCTCTACCACCTATCCAAAACTGCACTATCAGGTAAATACCAACTGAACTCAAATAAAAGATTAAATACTACCTGAGGCAGATATATATAATTTTCAATCAAAGGACCCAATTGAGTGGCACATATGCCACTGATGGTCACACAAACAATAAACAACAATCATGTTTCTCAAGGTTTTCATTCAACACCTAATACAAATACAAACAGAATCTCTGTCCATAAATAACAATAAAATATAATAACATATGTGAGATTAAAGCATGCACCAAACTGCATGCATGTACTTTCAATACAGCAACTATTAAAGTTTTTCCACATTGGCAAAGCCATATTCTAGACAGGTGCATAATGTTACCACAGATAAACAAATCAGTTCACTTTTGCTTGGATGGTGAACAGATGTTCTACATTCAGCAGAAAGAAGACTGTTTTATGGCTGGCAGAGTTCAAATCGAACACACATATTTAACACAAATTTAGTCAGGTTTACAAAAAAAATTTAAAAAAATTAAATGAATATGAGATGAGACACGTAAGTATAACAGGCAGGAAGTGTGTTGTGATAATATGCGTCCCTTGCCAGATTGTTTCAGGTCAATGTGAAACAATTCAGAGCAGTCCTAGCAAATTTGCGCACAGAACAAGAACATAACTGGGTTAACATGTGGATTATGTGGCTTACAAACTTCAGTTAGTCCAGAAGATCACAATTTAAGAAGGCTATTTACAGCAGCACTCAAGCTGTTTCAAGGGTGGGTGTAGGAGTGAAAATAATAATGTTATTAAAATATTTAATTTCTACAGACCCAACAAATTCCCCTTTAAAAGGAAATATTTCAAACTTTAACGTGTTTTTCTTATATAACATGCAACTATAAAGTTCTAATTGAAAAACAATTACTATGAAAACCAAAAAATAAATCCCAGTAGCCTGATATAAGAAAATGGGTATTTCCAGCTTTTAGGATATACAGGAACTGCAAATAATTTATACTAATGAGACATACATGCTTCACACACACACATGGCCATGCAATCAAGTCTTATTGTATTTGTTCTGAATGAACAGCAAGCTATAACTTTCCATACTAGAAATAAAAACTGGTTTATTCTAACAGCACTAATATTTAAATCATGTCACAAATCCTGTACTTATCATAATGACATGAAACTGTATAATTATGAGAGGAGACCCACTGCAAATCAATTCCAAACCTTCCCAGAAACTGTTTCAATTAAAAAAATGTAGTACATCATAATTTCCAACCCAAAACAACATCATGTTTTCAAGCCAAAGATGTATGTAAGATGCATGTACTGCAGTATGCTAACAACTACAACTTCCAGCTGACCTGACTTCTTGTATCTACTTCTCCCACTCCACCATCCTAGCACCACTTACCAAGCTTGACACAAAACCTTAAAAGGATACATAACCAAGGTAGAGCACAAATGTTTGAACTTCAGCAAAAACCACCACAAGTCTTGCAATACAGACACCAAAATACCAGCCTGATAGATCTGCCTGTTCATGAGATGCTGGCAATTGCCCTCATTTCTGTGTGCTTACTTGAACACAAAATACACACAGCTTTATTCAATTTTATTTCATTACAGTCTTAATAAATGATAAATACCTGCATAAAAAAGTACATGCCATGTTGTTTGTTAGCATAATTTTACTTCTGTGTATAACTTCATTTTCAGGGGCAACATGCCCCACATCAAACATTTTAGGAGAGGTTCATGCCCCCACCCCCGAACATAGGCTCCACTGCTAACGACTATTTACCTTACAAAAGGATCTCCAGCATCGAAGACAACTGGATATTTATTGCCAAAATTTTCTTTTCTGATTAAGCAATGTTTGATATGTGTAAACAGTCAACAAACATAATTGCAATGTATGAGAGACTAAAAGCCTTCATAATGGAACTGAACACGAGCACAATTTATCGAAACCTAATGTATCGGGCACTCTGATAAAAAAGTTACCAGTCCTATCTGTTTTGAAGAACCTGTGTTAAATGGTAAAACCTTCGGTGCTCATAGCCCTGATTATAGAGGTATAAAGCACCTTTGAAATAGCGGTAAACTTCTACCAACTACACCCTGCAACATCCCAGAAGACAGACATCTTCATATTTCTTCTTATTCCACTAAATGTGAAATCTGCCTTAATTTCAAAAGTGTTAATAGGTTGAACATCTTTATTTTAATAAACTCTATTTAGCTGCATCCTACCAATATTCATAAGACTTAATCATGTTGTATAAAAACACACATGGCAGACACCCACTTCACAAAATACAAGAGTAAAATACAGAGACTAACTGCAGCAAAAACTGTTACCTCTTGCACATTTTGCATATTCTTTCTTTTTATACATAAATATCAGTACATGAGGTAGTGGAAATGAACATCCTGTTTCATATTTTAACCTTAAGAAACATCACGTAATCATCATATTCACATGTTTTCCACATACTCGTTTATTATACAATAGTCACTTGTGAAACCAGGATGATTCCTATAGACAAGTTGAACACATTCTACATTCTAAACAACAATTAAAAACATTTATAATTAACTCCACATTGCTCTACCATCATTGAATAGCTGATACTTATTCAATGAGTCAGTAAATGTCCAGTCATGGAACACAACATTTCTTCACTGTATCAGTGCTAGTGTTTTGGACTGTAACACCATGTGGACGTGAAGGTAGATACCAACACACATTCTTCACCGTTTCCTCAAAAATTTGCTAAAATATACGTTAAACAGATTCATGCTCAAAATAACTGGAATGGTAACTTTGTGTTACATTATAAGTGTACCATTTATCAGCTTTAACCATTTTATAAAAATGCCATTCCTGAAAAGTCCGTCCTTACCAACCTTTATTACATCAACTTCTTTTCAGTGTAACAAGGGAAAACAGTGACAGGGAAAAAGCATTCTCGTAAAGCACAAGCAATAGTTTTACCACCTTCTTATCAATAGAAATTTAACATTATAAAAGTACTTACAGCTTAATATTATCTAGTAATATCCCATTCGACTTTTCGTTGAATTTCTGAGCTGTTGGGGTTAATTTCAAATACTCAGCATTATCAGCTGTGTATACGCCAAGCACCAACCCCGTCTGCAAAAAACATAAATTATTTAATAACTAAATTATGTCAGAGAATGGAACAAGATAACTCTGCTTATGAAATTCAACCATGCATTCACCTTCTCTTTCAAATAATCACTTGCAGTGGACATTCTAGCATATATTAACTTTGAAACTGTGAACTTCTTAAAGATTCTAAACGATGCAACATACATCTTTGCTACCTTCAACTATAAATTACAAAGCATTGCAATTACTTATATCCTGTCTGTATCATTTTTATTTGCTTTGCTACTTCCGGCTTTAGGGGTGCAGCCAATTACTATTACCTCAAATCAAAATTTCTCTATTAATACCTATCCAAGAATCGTATTTATCATCAGCTGATTTCACCTTCGCTGTTTGTTTCGGCTTCTAGTTCAATATCGTCTAAAAGTTGTTTCAAAGGTCTTCCAAATCTTCTCTTTCGTCTAGGTTGGTACTGCAGCATTTTCAAGGATTTCTTTGGTCAAGCAAACTTGAGACATGATGTATCCATTTTGTTTTATAATTTTTGATTTTGTTCTAAAATTGGCGTAACTTGTAGTTTCTGTGATTGTTTTTCGTTTTGTTTGTGTGTTCATCTGTTTTCCCGAGAAATTTAATTTCTGATGTGGTTAACTTAAGATGGAGATAATATTTTCTCCAAAATTTAGATTCTATATGGTGCCACGAGCCAGAATAGTATCGTCAATATGACAGTAGTCAAAACGTCAGACCATGTGACAGATTACACTTGAAATCTATCTGAGAATATTGAATTATTAAAAGCTGCAAGGACGCTATGGTCACAGTTCGGAAATGCGTAAATGGTCCCTCATCTGGCTGGATATAGAATCTAAAGAACTTTTCTTCCATCCTATCTCCAAAAAATCCAAAGAGGAACACTGGGCAACGGCAATAGAATGTGAATGGTAGAATCCCGAAGATGTTTCATTATAATCAATAGAGAAAATGGATCTTTATGGTTAATTT